TTGAAGGTCTTTGCTTTCTCTGTCAAGTCCTCGGGCCCTCTTTTTGAGGCCGTGCTGCGCCGCTACGGCCAGCTTGTTGCAACGGACCAAGCCATGCCTCAACAGGCGCGTTTAGGGTATAAAGTTTCAGGGTTTAGGGTGCTATGAAACTCCCAATTCCAAGCTGAAGTTTAGGGCATTCGGGTCTCCTTTGTCGCAAACCGCTGTTGTCCTCCTCTTCCTTGACCTTGGCCTCCCCACACGGAGCCCGATTCCTTGCCCCATCCGGGCATGCTGAAAGTAGGCTTTGATGCCTCCACCTGCCACCCGGGCTGAAGCCTTGGCTTTGGGGACGAAATCGAGATGGTGGACGATCCCCACGAGCAGGAGCATGCCAAACGGGACAGGGAGGCGTGGCTTGCAAGGAACTCGTATTCGTTACTCGAGATGACCGGCGACGACACGGGGTTCCTTTGCTTCATAAGAGCGACCAGGAAAGGAACCGCGTGAGCTTGCCCAAAGACATGGTCTCCAACAACGCCGTCTTGGAAGGGGCCCATCCTTTCGATGGTACTGGGTTCAGGAAAGGGAAGAGGTTTAGGGGTTTCGGGATCATTGTTCAGTGTTGAGGAACCCCTAAAGCCTTTCATACCGGGGTCGAATGATTCTGCTTCCCAATCGATCCTCGTATCGTCTCTCTAGTTTAATCTACCCCAAAACCTGACTGAAATATGAAAGCCCTATAGTACCCTAAACCCCAAACCCCTAGACTCCAGACCCTCACGATGTTGGAGGTATCAGGGTGGGATTCTGGGTTTAGGGTTTGGGGTTTGACTTCCTTACTTGTCCAGGATTTAAGTCAGCGCAGTACAAGCCTCATATAGATCTGTCTAAACGTCTAGAGGGCTCGCCGTCACGTTCGTGACGTCTGAAACCTACGCTAAACCTTATAACTCCCTAAACCCTAAACCCTAAACCCTAAACCTTAAACAAACCCTAAAGACTCCGAGGTTCAGTGTAGGGCTCGCTGTCACCTTCGTGACTGTGGAAAACTGGGCGGGTGAAACGGGAAGTCCTGGATGAGATCGGAGTGTGGCATCCTCCTTTAGGTTCCTTTAGGGTTTAGGGTTTAGGGTTTAGGGTTTAGGGTCTAGGGTAGGGTGCTATAGGTTCTGCTGTAGTTTATAGAATACCTTAAGAACCCAAAACCTGCTTTTTTGTAGGGTCCCTATAAATCCCATATTAGGGTTTATAATAAGCACCTACAAAAAGGTGGGTTTTGGGTTCTTAAGGTAGGGTCCCCCTTAAGGCTGCTATAGGTTTCTATAATAGGGTGTCCTCTCAAGGCTCGGTTCAGGGGAATCTTCCTCGCGGACGCCTTTCCATCAGTTCCACACGCTAATTGTTGACCGTCTTTGTGGCCGTTGTTCTCAAAAACCGCAATGGAACATAATGGAACTCTCAGCCGTAGCCCACAGAACCGAGCCGCAGACTGTTTACGGTTCAGGGCTTTGGGTGACGAGGTCCCGCACTTGCACCGCCAGCTTCCAGATACCGGTGTTTTGCTTTTCTGCTTTGCACATTTATGAAGCTCATACTACCTGCCGCATTCCTCTTTTCCAGAGTAGTGGAGACTCTTTTATAGCAGCGATTGCTGGCGTTAGCAGATTGGAATCCAGCTGAACTCTATTCTACACACCAAACCTTCCACGTTAAACCCTAAGAGTAGCTCTATAGAACCCTAGAGTAACAACAGACCCGTTTGAACGGGATGAAGGTAGGTAGGATCAACGATCTCTTATATTTAATATGGTTCAGAGGCCTTGCCTCCCGTGATGATCCGGTTTCCCGGGGAATCGCGACGGCACGTCCGTGCGAGGCTGGGATTTGTCGGGGGCCTGATAGATAAAGTGTTCTACATGGCTTTGGGTTTAGGGCTTTGTTGGGAGTCTATTATAAAGAATTCTACAAGGTTTCTTTAAAGTGTTCTATAGGGCTTGGGGTTTAGGGCTTTGTTGGGAGTAGACCATCAAATAATGAATTCTCTACGGGTTTTTTGGGGGGACCAAAAGGGGGTTCTGTAAGGGCTCTATCAGGTTTCGGGTTTCTCGTGAGGCTGTGCAGGACGGTTGATGAGATAAATCCTGCATTACCCATAATAAGGGTTATACCATACCTAAACCCTAAACCCTAAACCAGGGTTGCGCTCCTTAGAACTTCACTTAACGCCGACCTCCGAAGGACCCCCGATCATTGCAGTACGCAGCTTCCACCAGCCCCGAAGCCAAGCGCACCCTCGGCCCTAAACCCCTAAGGCCCCATGTTCCGGGGGTTTAGGGTTCAGGGTTTAGGGTTTGGGGGTTTAGGGGTTTTAGGGTTTAGGGTTTAGGGGTTTAGGGGTTTAGGGTTTAGGGGTTTAGGGGTTTAGGGGCCCTGAACCATTACAGTAACTGTGGCCATAAGTCACAAGTCGCCGCAACTTTAGGAACTAATTATATGGGGGTTTCCGAAAATTAGGGTACCTTATTTTGGGGTCCTTATAATAAGGATCCTATTATTTAGGGTGCTATATTAGGGTCCCCTATTTTCGGAAAGTCCCATATCTATAACCCTAGTTACCAAGTCCCATGATCCCTTAGGCAAACCCTAAGCCCTTGGACCGGACCCCCAAACCCTAAACCCCCAACCCCAGACCCGAAACCCTAAACCGGTTTAGGGTTTAGGGTTTAGGGTTTAGGGTGGGCTTAGGGTTTAGGCCAGACCCCAACCTCAAACCCCAAGGACCGGACCCAAAAGGGAGGCTCCAAACCCAAAGCTTCTGAGACACATTTGACCAGACCCCCAGAGTCCAGTTGCCCTCATAGTTTAAGGCCCCTATAAGTTTGAGGTATAGTATAGGTTTAGGGTGTAGGGCTTAGGGTTTAGGGTTATATACCTAAACCCTAAAACCTAATGAAATCTGATGCTTTCCTTCATTAAGGGGTTTTTGGGCCCCCGGAACCCTTAACCCCAAAACCCCTAAACCCCTAAACCCCTAAACCCTAAACCCTAAACCCTAAACCCTACACCCTAAACCCTACACCCCAAACCCCAAACCCTAAACCCTACCCGTTGACCGGAGCCAGGTCCGCGACGGTTAGCTCGCCCTTCGATCGGAAGGGGCCCGAGGATCCCGCGACTCAGAGGAAAAATCAGAGGTTCCGCAAGGGGTTCCTTTAAAGGGTACTATAGGGATCCTAGGCTTCCTTTAAAGGGTACTAGAGGGTTTAGGGTTTAGGGGTTTTGGGGTGTAGGGTTTTGGGATTTAGGGGTTTAGGGGTTTAGGGTTTAGGGTTGAGGGTTTTGGGTTCTTTTTTCAATTATTCAAAAGAACTCTATCAGGGTTCTTATAAGGGATCCGTAAGGGTGCTATTGAGGGGTTCGCCATCGGAGGAAACGCAGAAGCGCAGAGGTCTTGTAAGGGGTAAAGGGAGGGTTTAGTTATGGTTTTTTAAAGTCTCCCAGTTTAGGGTTTAGGGTTTAGGGTTGAGGGTTTAGGGTTGAGCGTTTAGGGTTTTGTAAGGGCTTTGCGCGGTTTAGGGTTGTTGGCTTAGGGCTAGGGCTTTGAGGGTTGAGGGTTTAGGGTTTAGCGATTTATTTTTGATGGTTTAGGGTTGAGAGTTTAGGGTTTTCCAAAAAGGCGCTTGTATAGGGTGTTTCAGGTTTTTTCCTCAACCGAGCTTGGCTTAGAGATTTTGGGTTGGGGGGGTTCTGAGCTGTTCTTGTGCTTAGGGTCCCGCGTGTTGAGCCCCTTTTTATTCTTAAGTTTACCTGTGGATCCGAAACCCTACAGTACGGTTTTAGGGTTTAGGGTTTAGGGTTCAGGGTGACCTACAGCTTTCAGGCGTACTTGGAGGATTATGGGACTTAGCAATTATGGTTAGCAGTACTTCATTATTTGAGGTTGTACATACATACAACTAGAGTTTCCGTATTTATCCACGATCCTTCAAGTATACCCTATAACTTAGGGGTCACAGCCAGCTATTCTGCAGAGTATCGGGCTACACGGAGGGTCGTGAGTAGAGGTTTTTGTGTTTTGGTATAGAGGGCTCGAGGGTACAGGGGTGGATTACCCTAAACCCTAAACCCAAAAAACCCCGACGGAACTGGGCAACCAAGGTCTACCTCTATCTCCACATGGAGAACTTCCAGGCTCCAATTTCAGGGTTTAGGGTTTAGGGTTCAGGGTTTAGGGTTTAGGGTTTAGGGGCTCCTTTCGGGGAACTATACCCCTAAACCTTAAGTCCTAAACGTTCCATACAGGGATCTCTGAGGGTTGGGGTTTAGGGTTCCTTTTACGGATCCTTGAAGGATTCATGTAAGGACTTCCCGGTTTGGGGTTTATGATTTGTCCGGATTTGGCGGTTTTAGGGGCCCGAGTTTTTTGTTTAAAGGGTTCTTTAAGGGTTGCTAGAAGGGTTGCCATAGAGTTTGGGATTTAGGATAGCTGGTTTGAGGTTGCATGTGGCTTTGGCATTTGACGGTTCCTGAACTCCACAACCCTAAAACCCAACACTAAACCATAAAATGCCCGAAACCCTAACCCTTAGCCCCACGAGCCCTAAAGGCGCTAGATCCTTAGGCATTTCTTGCCTTCGGGCTGCAGGGCCATCGGATTTGATGACCAGCGGACATATGATTTGTAGGGCCTTAGAATCCTTCTTAGCCTACAGAGTTCTTCTGGAACCGGTATGGAACCCTTAGAGTCACGTCAAGCTTGGTGTAAGCTTCTGTCCTCTTACTGTTCTATTCTAAGTCTTAGTAGCAGCATGAGCAGCAGTGTTGCTTGCTGGCTCAGGCAACTCATGATCCTCCCAGTAGGGCATTAGGACAGTGATGTTCCAACTTTCTGGATTCTACTGCAAGGGTTCCATAAATGGGGGTTTTAAGGTTATACAGGATACTTGAAGGATCGTGGGACTGAGCACTGTGGGTTGTGAATAAGGTAACTATAGATAGTTACAAGTGTTTTAAAACCCAGTTGAGGTACTGACAACCTTAAATACTAAGTCCCTAAACCCTAAACCTAAGTCCCTTGAGAATCCAAGCAAGCTGTACGAGGATCCAGGTCAGCGCCCTCCGCCGCGGCTGGAGGGTCTTGATGAGGCAACTTGAGCTTTCAGTTCGGTTTAGAGGGTTTAGGGTTTAGGGTTTAGGAGTTTAGGGTTTAGGGCCAGGGGCAGGTACATACGGTTGATGATATGAATCCTGCATTACCCAGAATAACAAGAAATATACCCTAATTCCTATAGTTTATGGTCCGTAAGGTTATGCAGGATTTATATCATCAACAGTATGTATACAGAAGCCTTCAGAGTGTTTCAGTGATGGTTCCCGGACGTCAGCTTTAGCAAGATCACGCTATCGTTGTTTTGTAGTATTGTGGAATCTGTAAACTGCCCTAAACCCTAAACCCTAAACCTCAAACCCTAAACCCTAAACCCTAAACCCTAAACCCCAAACCCTAAACCCTAAACCCTAAACATACAGTCCCGCAGTAAACATTGAGCGCTCAACCCCAAAGCTTCCCTCCTACCCAGAGAGCCCAATACCACTTCATTAAAGAATATAGCTTAAATCTTTAGGGGCCTTAGTATTATGGTTTAAGCTGTCTTCCTCAATTAAGCAGTATTGGGCTCTCTGGGTAAGCCCTTAACTTGAGTCTCCTCGATGCGTATCACGAAGTTGCCCGTCTGATTTCTTTGAGGTGGCATTGCCGCGTGATCTTTGTCCTCTAAATTAGGGTTTAGGGTTTAGGGGTACTAAACTATAAACCTCACACCCTAAACACACTGGTACAGTAAGTCGCGTACTATGTCGTCAAGAAGCCCGAGAACCAAAAACTCGAACCCTACAGAAAGTAGGTGAGCAGGATTTGGGACTGAGGGTAAATCCTGGCAGTTCTGGGCTGGCAGAACTCCCGAAGCCATAAGCACCTGAGCCTTAAACCCAAGGCCTTAACCCTCAGCCCTAAAATCTCAACTCTAAACCCTAAACCCGAAGCCTCAAAATCCAAAGCCCAAACCCCTCAACCTTAAACCCCTTAACCCTAGACCATGAGTCTCGCATTCCTAAGCCCCAAACTGTTAAACCCCAAAGCCTAAAGCCCAAGCCTTAAAGCCCTATTCCCTAAACCCTAAACCCTACACCCTAAACCCTAAACCCTAAACCCTAAAACAGCACCTTCCGAGGATGCCTTGTCATCTCTGCCGATCCCTCCGCCGCTCGCGACGCCCAGGCGGCTTCTTTTTACAGCTCAGCCCTACAACCAGAGGGCCCAATATTTAGGGTTTAGGGTTTAGGGTTCAGGGTTCAGGGTTTAGGGTTTAGAGTTTAGGGTTTAGGGTTTGGGGTTATTAAGGAACATACCTAAAGTGATGGGGGCCATAATATTTCTGGTTAGCCCTAGGCTCTTTTCGTTTAGGTATCCTGGATATGGTTTTTTAAAGTCTCCGAGTTTAGGGTTTAGGGTTTAGGGTTTAGGGTTGAGGGTTTAGCGTTGAGTGTTGAGGGTTTAGGGTTTAGGGTTGAGGGTTGAGGGTTTAGGGAAGGGGTTTTGGAGACTCCGGGCATAGCATCTGGAGCTGACGGGTTTTGGGCTCCTTTCCGAGCCCGAGAAGAGCCGGAAATGATGCAGCAAGCTCAGCTCGAGAGAACCCTAAACCCTAAACCCTACTCCCTAAGCCCTACACCCTAAACCTCTAAACCCTAAGCCCTAAACCCTAAACCCCAAACCCTAAACCGTAAACCCTAAACTCCTAAGCCTACACCCTACACCCTAAACCCTAATCCCTAAAGCTAAGAAGGATTACGATTGCCGCCAGCTTCCGGGTTCGGGCTTCAGGGGCTAAGGGTTTGGGGTCTTGAGGTTTGGGGTTTGGGGTTTAGGGTTTGGGGTTCAGGGTTTAGGCTTTAGGGTTTAGGGTTTGGGGTCTTGGGGTTTAGGCTTTAGGGTTTAGGCTTTAGGGTTTAGGGTTTGGGGTCTTGGGGTTTAGAGTTTGGGGTTTAGGGTTTATGTTTTAGGGTTTGGGGCCTTGGGCCTCTACCCAGAGCCCAATACACCTTAATAAAGGAATATATACCTTAAATTTTTGGGGTGGCCCTCATATTATGGTGCAATTTCTCCTTAATTAAGGGGTCGAAATCGGCCCAAATTAGGGTTTAGGGTTTAGGGTCTAATCCTAAAGCAACAAACCACCGATTCCCAAAGCCCCGAAAGCCCTGCACCCCTGAACCCCTAAACCCTAAACCCCTAAACCCTAAACCCTAAACCCGACAGAACCCCGTATTGAACATCGTCAAGATCAACAAGCCTTGCCCTTGTCATTCTGCCTCCCGTTCCAGCAGGCCAAAAGACATAG